GCGGCGAGGCGCGGCCACTTGCAAGGGGGCGACGAGCCCGGCTCCGCCTCGCCCTCCGCGGCCTGCAAGCACCGGTCCAGGTGCGAGTTGATGTGCGCGGCCGGCAGCTCCCGCAGGCACACGGGGCACTGCACCGCCCGCTCCTCCTCGGCGCCCTCCATCGACTCCCGCCGCCGGCGGCCCGTGAGGCGAGGCCAGGCCGGGGCAGGAAGCGAGGCCGGCGGCGCCGGGCGCCCGCAGCCCTTCGGGAGCTGTAGTCCGCCCGTCCCCGCTCCCCGCCCCTATCACCGCGGGAGCAGGGGCCGCTCTCCCGCCCCGCAGGCTTCGGGGAGAGGAAGGGGGCGCGGAGGGGCGGAGAGGCCCCTGCGGGCAGGTGCCGACACGGCGCTCTGAGGGGAGCCTGCCCTCAGCCCCTGCATTTACAGGGCATCGCGGGGCAGGTTCTTCAGGGGCAGAGCCCCGACCGCCCTTAGTTGTGGCTGTCACCTCTGCTGAGGTTTGTCTGCTTTGACGTAAGATGCCGAAAAATCTCTTCGGGATGTGCAGTACCTCTGTGGTCTTGCAGGCCCCGATTCCAGGGCAGGTGGGGTTGTCGCTGCTGGCTCTGTGGGTTTCCAGGCAGCACGCTGCCTCGGCGGCCTGGTGCAGCCAAGCCTGGGGAAGGGGCGAGAGAAGAGCACGGCCACACCGGCCCTGTTCAGACGGCCTGAAGCGCTGCGGAGCTACTCTGGGGTCGCATCGATAAAATACTGTCAATTCTCTTGTATTTGCAGGTCCACCTGGTTACTTATTGAAATATGTGAAAACTAAGCATTCTCAGTTGAAAGAGCTACCAATAAATTATTATTACTGGTTTTTTTTCTTTTTTTTTTAATATAAAATATGCTCTTGTATTACACAGAATGCAGGGCAGAATGCAAGGCAGGCTGTACTTGAAAGAAAAGCGTAGTAAGCGCTACCATTCGCATCCTCATTTACCACCTGAACTTGACCCATTGGTAATTCTTTCCACGTTACATCTTGTTTTCTTTCTTAAATTATATATTTAGCTTTAATTATATACCATTACATAATCGTTCCCAGCTTGTAAATTTCGAGTCAGGCTAATGTCAAGATGTATTAGGAGGTAAACAAGTCAGGCTACTGGCTAATGGTACCTGTCCCCAGGCTTAAATTTTGAAAATGGCTGGTTTGCAAATGACCAACGGGTCAGAAATAAAGTTTTTATTTGAGCTGAAGATGGAGGTCAAAGGACTGAGTTTTGGGTAAAGAGCTTTACGGCCCATCATGTAAACTTAGTTCTGGCTGAAGGGGTTGCGATCTAAAAATAGATGGTGAAAGAAAAAGGGGTTGTTCTTTTTGGCTGATACTTATTTGCCTGCCCATTTCTATTTCTGACCAATTTTATAAACATTTTCTGTATTGTTTTTATGTTTTTTGTGCGAATGTATTTATTTTCTGCTATTAGGCAGAAAAAGCGGTAGGACTATAGGTATATATCCCCTGTACATACAGGTAGGCAACTTCTTGTGTTTTTAAGACATGTGTGTGGTTTCTGAGTGTGTAAGTGAAGATGTTGTTCATGAAGCAAGCTATTTTGCTTAAAGTGAGAGATTAGCTTGCTGAAGACAACTCAGAAGAAAACATCTCCCAGGCCAAAGTTGGGGAATGTAAATGATGGGGGAAAGGTTTTCACCCTCCTTTGGAGGAAACAGAGCTCAACACCCATTTGAACTTTTCTTTTTCCTTGTAATAAGGTAGAAGGCCATAGCCTGCCATTGCTCAGTGGCACATGACCAGGGTAGGATTGCTTTTCTGGGGCTGTGGAGAAGGCACTTGCAAACGAATTTCTGTGTGCACCTCAGAAACTTTCCGTTGTTCAACAGCTTATTGTTTCAGGGGTATATTAAAGTAATAATGGGGGAGAGGGCAATCAGGTTTGGACTCCATCCTAGTCTCTGCTTGGTAACAGAAACCAGTAATACCTCCAGGCTTGCCATCCCATTAATATTTTCCCAGATAGCTGACCCATTGGTCAGCCTGAAGGAACAACATGTCCTTTCAGTAGGACATATCATTCTCATTAGATGGATGGCCGCATTTGGTGATCATAACCTAGCGATTGACGTGCTCTTTGAAGAGCTAGGGAGAGTCTGAATCAACTTTCCTTGGTTGCAGTCATGTTAGGCCAGAAGTAGTCTTCACAGCCAGGTCACTCTAAAATACTGTGGGATTTGAGTAGCTGGAGACATGGAGGCAACAGGAAGGCATCTGGAAACATTGCCTGTTTTTTCTGACAGCTTTGGAGTATGTTGCATTACCCCTTGGTGTGGAGTAGATCAAAGGATCTCTAGAATAATGGCTTGAAGTTTTGACTGAGCCCTTGTGGTATGTCACCTGCAATTGTCAGGGCGTTTAGGAAAACTCAAGAATCTGCTCTTGAGAAATGGGGGAAGAAAATCTTGTGAAGTGTCGTTTCTCCTCAAGGGGATGGAAAGGGATGTCAGAACCATGAAAGTTGGTGATGGAGGCTAGAATCAGCAGACCTGGCATTTTTACATACCAGGTGCACAACTTCAGATGCTGAATGTCTTACAGTCCCCTGCTGGTGTCCCTGCATCTCAGGGCTGCAATAACATGGTACCAAGAATCTCTCTGTGAAGCTCATTTGCAAGCTGCAAGCTTGCACAGTCCTTCACTGTCCATCACCTATAAATGTCACCACTAGCAAGCCACCTCCTATGTCACATGTGATAGTATGTGTCATCTTTCACATCTGGGAAGAGTTTGGAGGGCTAACTATGGGCGGTGAAGATGTAGGCTGCACGTGCACAGATGTGGGGTCAAAACATAGTGAGGAACATTTTCTGTTGGAAGGTGTTTGGGTAAAAATAACTGATTTAATTGGTTCTCTGGCTGTACACTGAAAGCTGTTTCTCTGTGCTGCTAATGACTGTAAGGCTGTATATACATTCTTAATTATGCCATATAATTTATGGTATTTATGCAAGTTAAAATGAAAACCACGAGCTGTGTAATGAGATTGACCAGATTCAGCTTTCTAGAGCTAAAGCATCAGTGTTGTGCTTTTGTAGCTGGGTTTCCAGTACAGTGAAGAAAGGGTTGCAATAATAACAATGAAGGTAGTTTAGGTCCTCTAATAGGTCCTCTATTTCCTGGGTCTACACAGAGGTACTAAGTGAAATTTTAGAGTATTTCTCTTACTCTTTTAAAATTGGTTGTGCAAAAGGACATACTTTCTGAGCATAACCAAGTCATTACTTGGCGGGGGTGGGGTGGGGTGGTGGAGCCCACCACCTTGCTGTGGAATAAAAGCCCTTCTGCAAAGAATTAATCATAACTAACAGCCTGACTTACATCAACTTTCCAGCCAACCTTACCAGTAGAGAAGCTTTGATGGTCCTACCTCACAGAAGTGCTAGGCACATACTGAGGGCCTACAGTAGGAAGGAACCCAGCTGAGGACTGTGCTCTTTTGCAGCCTTCAACAGAGGGCCTGAAATCACCACCATTTTGGTAATTACCATTTCTGTGGTGTAGGATAGTGGGAAGAGACGGAAGGCCTGTGTTCAGGACTAAACCACTTTGTTTAATATCTAAAATCTTAATGGTCTTAATAACAGGGTCCTCACATGCCAACTTGATGGAACTACAACAAAGGGAAGGAAAGCACACTGAGCAACAAGAAGCTACTGAAGTGGTTAAAAAAGTGAGGAACGATCTATAAGCAAGGTCTGCGAGCAACAGCAATATGTATTGATTTGATAGAGCTAAATAGTTTCTATGAACAAATTAAATGACATTGGTCTTGTAGCCTACTTGAATTACCTGGTGTTGAATGTAGATGAGAAGGTAGAATGGTGTCTGTGAACAGCTAGGGCTTGTTAAATCTACATGTGTGTTGGTTCAGAAAGTGTAAGGAGAGTAGAACTATAAAGTATTGCAACAACAGCAGTTTTCTAAGCTATGCATGAATAACACTGATGCCTCTTAATTGTCTTTCTTTTGTACAGCCAAGAAGGAGGAGAAATCAGAAGTTACGAGTGTTCACTGGTTTATGAATCTAAGGTGGAGAAGAAAACAGAGAGTAAATTAACTGGGCATAGTATGAAGCTACTTAAGATTAACAGGCTGGAAGAGATCAATGCACGATATAACAGCAACAGACTGGAAAAAACAGCCTTTTTTCAGAGCGTGGAAAAAGTGGAGAGGACTAGAAGCTTTCAGGAAGAAAAAATCAGTGAATCAGATCCTGGAACAGAAGATGAGAAGGTAACTAACTGCGTAACAATTTTTGTTTTCACAAAGCACTGTCCCTTTCTTCTTACAGCTAAAGAGTTTACTATGTGTGTTTCCCAGTAGAGTTGAATTTTTCATTATCATCTGTGAAAATGTATTGCAGCTGTGAGAGTCTGGCCATCATCTTTTAATCTTTTGAATTCATAGAAGCAAGCACGTGTGTTTTTATTCTGGGGTTTATTTACAGCTGGATTTGTATTCAGAAGTTGTGAAGAAGTTGTATGGTTCTGCAGCTCTTCAAAATCAGAAGGTAAACAGAAATTTTGTTGGATTCATATTTTGAGAGCATTTGTCCTGTCTAACATCTCTGGAGTTAGTGAATTAATCCAATGGAAAGAGCAGATTTCCCAGAGGAACTAAGGCAGCTTTGTCCTTTGCTCCCCATTAACTGGGGAGCAGGGCATGGTTATCTGCTGTGTGCCATGCTTGCAGGGCTGAGTGTTGTCCCGTGTAGCTCTGTGCTGCACCTGTCTCCGGTAAAAACAGTGGTGGGCATCATAGTATGGGGTCTCCGGCAGGAAAATGACTCTGTGATCAGCCAAAAGGGGTTTAGAAATAACAACATATTTCCTTGTATTATGCTTATTCTATGCAGGAGACTAGAGGAACCAGTATTTTTATTGACATGTCATTTAGACAATAACTGAGAAAATCTGCTTGCAATAGGGCAATGAGAAATTAATTTTACACACCAGTTTCTGAAAAGACTTGAAAAATTTGTGCTGTGGCTGTTTGTGCTGATATGGTAGAATAGTTTTTCGAGAATTCTGAATATTTTTGTGTTCAGATGATACTCTGGAGCATCAGTGTAAAGTAAATTTCATTATGTTTTCATTTGTATTCACAACTCAAGAAGTTGAATTTTTGATGTTTCTTAATCTACTGGGTCAATTTTGTACAAAATTATTCCAGTCTTCAGTAAGCTACTACAATTTTTAGTTTGTAGAGGAAGAACAGGATCTCTATATTAAAACAGGCAAAGTATGTCTCATATAAGTAGAATAAGTGGAGAGTGGTGATGAATAGCATTCCTTAGGGGGTTGGTATTGGGACTGGCACTTTTTAACATCTCTTATGGTGACATGGACAGTGGGATCGAGTGCACCCTCGGTAAGTTTGCTGATAACACCAAGCTGTGTGGTGCAGTCGACACACTGGAGGGAAGGGATGTTATCCAGAGGGACCTGGACAGGCTTGAGAGGTGGGTCCGTGCAAACCTCATGAAGCTCAACAAGGCCAAGTGCAAGGTCCTGCACATGAGTCAGGGCAATCCCAAGTATACATACAGGCTGGGTGATGGGTGGATTGAGAGCAGCCCTACGGACAAGGACTTGAGGGTGTTGATTGATGAGAAGCTTAACATGACTCATCAATGCGAGTTTGCAGCTGAGAAAGCCAACTGCATCCTGGGCTGCATCAAGAGAAGTGTGACCAGCAGGTCAAGGGAGGGGATTCTCTCCCTCTACTCCACTTTTGTAAGACCCCACCTGGAGTACTGTGTTCAGTTCTGAGGCCCCCAACATAAGAAGGACACAGACCTGTTGGAGTGAGTCCGGAGGAGGGACCTGAAGATGATTGGGGGTGGAGCAACCTCCCCAGGGGTTGTTCAGTCTGGAGAAGAGAAGAATCTGGGGAGACCTTCTGGCAGCCTTCCAGTACTTGAAGGGGGCTACAGGAAAGATGGGGAGGGACTCTTTATCAGGGAGTGTAGTGATAGGACAAGGGGTAATTTTTTTAAACTGAAAGAGGGAAGATTTAGATTAGATGTAAGGAACAAATTCTTTACTTTGAGGGTGGTGAGACACTGGAACAGGTTGCCCAGAGAAGCTGTGGCTGCCCCTTCCCTGGAAGTGTTCAAGGTCAGGTTGGACGGGGCTTTGAGCAACTCGATCTAGTGGAAGGTGTCCCTGCCCATGGCAGATGGGTTTGAACTAGGTGATCTGTAAGGTCCCTTCTAACCCAAGCCATTCTATGATTCTATGTGTTTATTTTAGATAGGTTTTTTTAGCGTTACAGTGAAAATGAGAATTAAAAAATAAATAAATCTGGGTGATTGTTGTCTGGAGGATGTTGTTGGCTCTTTTAAGGTAGTTTTCTTCCAGTGTGAAAATCACAACTGGCACAGGTGAGAGAGTAAAAATTGCTGTGACCGACATGTAGCTTTTCTCTGAGTTTTGTCTCTTTAGGGTCAGGAAAAAGGCTGAGAGCTGCTTTGCCTGTGTTAATGTATGTTAGTTTGATGATGAATTGCAGATAGTAGCTGAGGTGGTGGGATTTTCTCCCACTCTACTGAAAAATCTCTAACCCATTGCTTCTTCAGTCTAATGGCTGGAACAGGCTCTTTGTTAAAAGCCCTGTAAGACAAGGCAGAGAGAGTTTGGAGGTGCAGTACAGGAGAAAGGAATAAGCTTAGAAGATGAACAGCTGGTGGCTAGTTGCAAGCTGGAGAAAGAGCTCTGTGTTCCCATTTTAGCTCATCAGCCTCCTGGGGATAAGACTTCAAAGGTGAAAGGCAGTCAAACTGAACTCTTGTAATGCGCCTCACTGGAGTGAGGTTTCCAGATACATAAACATTATTTATGTTTACCTAATCTTTTAGAACTTAACTTAGACACGATTTTTTTAGGATTTTCTCAATGGGATTGAGCCCTAGCTGTGCTGTTAATTTTGATGAAAGGAAAACCAAGACCTTTCTTTGAAAGCTCTTAGCTTGGTCTGCTTGCCTAATGAGCAGTTTTATTGTACTGATCAAAGGAAGGAAAGAAGATAGTGCTAGCAGGAAATACAGCAAACTTTGCTCAGTTGTATGCATTTACATGTGTGTGCTTGTGGGCATACGTACGTAATTTCTGTGGATGAAGTCCTGCTCACTTTGAAAGCCGTGACAAAACATCTATGCCCTTCAATGGGAGTGAGTTACAACTCAAGAGACCGTCTAGAAGAGAGTGGTCAAAGTGTGTACTTACTGGAAGAAACAAAGCTGTCTGATACTAACTGATTATAATTAAGGAAGAAAATTATCCCCTTGGTCAAAAACTATTTTTCTAGATATATATTTTCTAGAATAAGCAAACAGTTTTCATCTTTCAGTACAGTATATTCTTGTAAAAACAAAAACCTAATCTAAAAGAAAAAGACGACTTTTAGAGCCATTAAAATACAACTATGGAAAGTGAACGCAGCAATTGTTGACCGTTAGGAGTAAGGACCTGTTCAGGGTAGGGTATCTGGTGGTGCTGTCGGGAGGCCGGGATGTTGCTCTCCTCTAGATGGCACTCTTTGCCACAGCAGCTCTCCACCACGACCATTTTGCTCTCGGAGAGAATGACAGAAAGTAACTCATGACAAAACGGCTCTTTACCTGTTTTACACGTGTTTTCTTCAGAACGGCTTCTTGGCCCCCATTTGTACAGTTGGCATCACGTGTCTTTGTCTCTCGGCTAAGTTGTCGTCAGGAATGAACACGAAGTTTTGCTTCAGTTATATATTAACAAGTGACAGACATTTTGGTTTCTAGGAACGGTTTTCATGTGTGACAACCAGATTAAAAAAAAGAATAAAAATCCAGATCTGTCCTTGACCTATTGCACTGAATAGCCACACCAAGGGGTTGTGTTGGTCTGAGGGAGGGGGTGGTACAAAGTAGGAACAAACAGGTGTGGGAAGGTGAAACCACCTCTTTTGACAACAGCACCAACTTAATGCAAAGGTAAATTGATTGTGAAACTACCACACAATTTACGCAACTGCGCAACTGCGTTAGCTCTCAATGAGCTCCACATTTCCCACCTAAACGACTTCTGATGGCCCAGCCAAAGCTGCATGCTTCTGGTCAGCAAACCTGCAGTCTTTTTCTCCTGGCTTTTACCTGGTTAATGTGAGAATGCAATTCAAATTGTTAAGTTTTGAATTGCTGTTTGAAATTAGGACACAAACTCCCTCTCCCTAATAACTGTTCAGTTTTAAGTGCCATAAAATTATCTTCTTCAAGGTCAGTGGCTTGTTTTTAAACCCTGCCTCTGTGATTCAGATGTGTGCAGCTTCTTTTCTATTAGTAACGTTCAAAACTATAGAAGTTCCTAGGCTCCTATTTACCAAGTTAATAACAAACGTAATCCACCCACGTTGGATAATAATTACATGACCACTTTTTCAGGAAAGCAATATTAAAGAAACATTCAGTAAAAGCTAAATCTAATCCTAAGTGAAGCTTCAAATCTTTGTGAACTCTGGCAGACCACCTAGGGAAAACGGTTTGAAATTCAGGATCCCTCCACAAGCATATTGCTGCTGCTTTTAAAGTTCCTGCAACCTAGAGAGCTACAGCTACAACCACAGTTCCTGTAGGTGAAGCTATTACTAGTGACTAGTGTAACTGTGGGGTTTCTAGATCTTGTAATTTTGCATCTACAAGGCTTGGCCATTACCTTGATTTAACATCCATCTCTTTTACTTATTTGCTCTGTGGTATCAGTACGTTCATTTGGACAATATGCTGTGACAGTAGAGATGCTCCCTGTGCATGTGCATGAGCAAGCTTTCCCTTGGAGAGTCCTTTGGCTAGAGCTCAGATGCAGCTGAACTGGTGTGGGTAATGCATTACTTGCTGTCCACTGAGTGGTGGTGACTGATTGTTTGCACATTTACAGTTTGCTGCAAGATGGAAATAGAAGGTATTGGTAAAACATTGATTTAAATGTTTATTTTACTATGATTTTACCTCATATTTGCAGAGTTGTACCCTAGTCATTTACTGCAATTCTGTTCATAATCTGAGATGTATTAAATTAGTTATAACACAGTCTTATGTGCCAACATAGAATTTCTCCCATTATTAGTAAACATAAATGTGAATCCTAACATTTGCTGAAAAAATGTGACTTTGTAATTTGCAACTTACTATTGGATAAGCAATAACCTCTAGTAGCTCTACTGCCCTTGCTGTCCTCCTTGAAAGAACAGAAGTGGCAAGA